GGGTGTGGGTGTGTGTGATGTCTGACAGGTACCAGGAGGGCTCCTTTAGTCTGGAGGTATTCACCTGGTGTCCTGTCCCCAGAGGCCCAGCTCAAAGCATTATTTATCCTCATATCGCCATGAGGGTATACAGATCTCCCAGAGCAAGCTTCCATCGTCCTTCCCCTTTAATCTTTCTCTGTCATATAAGCTTATTTGTTAGAAATACCCATGACCCAGCTGAGTTTAACGGAGTGCCACATGCTGGCTGAGCGCCCCCCGAGTGGCCGGTAACATAGCCATGGTTTTGGCAGGCAGGTGGACGATGCATATGCCTGACTTCTGAAACTCCCCTCTCTGGGAACTGTCTTTATGCGCACAAGCGTTCTCACCCATGAGTTTCAGGGGAGTCTTGGGTCCCCCCACAGATAATTGGCTTGCCCCTTCTTTTGGAGCTCAAGGCAGACACTGCTTCATGAGCAGAGGACCACTGCACTGACCGCATCCCAACCAGCTGCTTCCAATGAGGGCTTTTTCTCTATGCATGTGTTCTTTGGCTTCGCCGCAGCATTAGACTCTGTTTTTATGAAGCTTTTCAACCTTGGGCATCCGTGACACCATTCTCTCCTCCTTTTCCTACTTCCTGGGCGGATCAGCCGTCAAACAGAGAAAGCCTCCCAGCTGGAAGACTGTGCGTGGTCCGGCGTGTACGTGCAGCTGTGCTTTACTTCTTTTTATTTATTTATTGAGGTGCAATTCACTACCATGAAATTAACCATTTTAAAGTGCGCTGACTCAGCAGCATTTTGCATCTTCACCGTGCTTTGCGACCACTGCCTCTGTCTAGTTCCAAAACATTTGGGGACCCTGTGCCCACTGGTAATCAGTCCCCATTCCCTCCTCCGCCCAGTCCCTGGCAACCACTAATCTGTGTTCTGCCTCCACGGATTTACCTATTTTCTGGGTATTTCATGTAAGTGGAATCCTACAATATGCGACCTTTAGTGTGGGGTTTCTTTCACTCCGCACGGTGGGTTTGAGGTTATTCCATGTTGTGGCGTGGGTCCACAATGCTTTCCTTCTTGAACCTGCAAAGAGGTCTCTTCCCGGTGGAATCCTTCCCTTCTCTCTTCACATTTTCATGACACTAGCTAGGACTTATTATTTTGCCTCATAACCCCTGAACCGGTCTTTCAAAACCCAGCCTCTCCTTTCTAATCCGCTTCGCAACTTCCAGAAGCAAAGTTTTAAACATGTCAATTCTCAAAACTTCCAGTACTCTCCAGCGCTGGTCTAATTCCAGACCCCTGGCCTGAAGCCCCCCGAGCTGTTCAGGGTCTGGCCTCGCCTCTCCCCCGCTTTTGTGGCATGAAGCCTGCCGGCCACTGAGGCTTCCATCGACAGAACCACCTCTTGCTCCTTGCATTGGACCTGTTTTTTCTGTTCCTTTACGATCTCTTCTGTTTCCTTCTCTCTTAACTCCTTCTTCTGTCTGGATTCATATTCTTGCCTTTCCTGCTCCTGTCTACATTTCAAATTCTGCCCTTCTCCAAGATCCAGCTCAGGGGTCCACCCTACTCCAGGAAGTTTTCCCTCATGCCACCCCACACAGCCCCTCCCAAGGAGAGGTAGAGAATAGCTCCTTTGCTCCCAGCTGCCAAGACTCTTAGGAGAAGTTGTACGTACACGTTTTCTCTCTTCTCTGGGGACGTACACTCCTGAAGGGCAGGATTCTCCTCGGTATGTGCACAGGCCCAGTCTTGCGGCTAGTAAGGATTGCCTCATTTTGTTGAACAATAATAAGTTTGGACATCACTTGCCCTAATGATAACCAACCAGCTCGGAGGGGGCACTTTGTCCTAGGCCAACTCGGGATATTTAAATCACTATGGTTTTGTGATTTACAGCTTGCCCACCCCCTTTCCTCCTGACAGCTCCTTAAGGAATGTTGGGTCCTTTATCAGAGATGGCAGAGGGGAAGGGGACGTGGGAGCATCAAGAGACAAATAAGTCTTCTGCCAAATAGGACAAGGTTTACCACATTGCTCTGTTGGAACCCTGAAACTTCTCTGCACTAGAGAAAATAATTTTTCCTACCACAGCCCATCTAAGCCAGCTTAGCTTTTCAAGATGGACGTGCCCATACCCAGAGGTCAAGATTAAATTACTTGCCAGCCTTTGAGATGTATGTTTATGCATGAGGTTTCCTACCCATATCCTTAGAGGGAAAAGATAGTGCGGTTAAGGCTAAGCCATCATCCAGTGGGTGCTGAGGGGCTGTAAGGCTATTCCTTGCATGGGCCCAGGACCCACAGAATAGAGGCAGATGGGTTGTCTTTGGACCTCAGAGGGGATTTCTTTAGAAAGGCCACACCGGTGCCTCTAACCAAAGGAAAGGGGCAAGTAGTTGGTATGTTGGTAGAGACTTGGTGAGATATGGATTTGGCTAGGAAGCTGCTTTTTCTACATTTCCTTCTTTGATTTCTCTTCTTTCTACCTTGTGCCCCCTCCTCCATCCACCCACACTGGGGTTGAGGAGGTTCAGGGAACAAACTGATTGTATCCTAAGATCTCTCTTGAAACAGACCTCTGACTAATAACAATGTCCACACAGATGCCAGCAGTTATTTGGTTTGAGTAACTAAAGAACAAGACAAAACAGATCTGGTTGCTAAACTACCAAAAAAAAAAAAGAAAAAGAAAAAGCAACAGCAACAAAAACAGGTTTAGCTTTACAAGTGTTCAAGACTTCAGTTTCAGGGGACATGTTAGGATTTCCTGAGAAAATGATGAAATCCCCACATGGTGGTGTCAGTTCCAGGTCAGAATGACAGACATGGCAAACTGAAGTCGTGTCCCCACGATGTGAGGTGCTACGGTGGCTTAGCTCAGTCCGTGGACAGGTCCAGCATCCTCAGGGACTCCCAGTGGATACCTAGCCTCTCTGGCTTTAAATGAAGGCGCCTCCTTGCCTCCTGGGTGGATGGCAGTTCCGCAGGCCCCCCACCGCCATGTTTCCAGGTCTTCTGGCACACGAAGCTTTGTCCCACACCACGCCCCCCCCCGGGCAGTGCCGTGCCCCTGGAACACTTCTTCGCCAGCATCCCCTTCACCTGATTCACGCCTGCTTGTCCTTCAGCTCTCCTCCTCAGCCTCTCCGCAGAAGACTGTCCTCACCCACCCTCACTCCTCCTCTGTGGCATTTCCTACAACTGTCATGTGACCATTCTTGCATGATTAACACCTATCTTCTCTCCGAGACTGGAGATTTCCTGAGGCCATGGAGCGATATTCAGGTGTATCTAGGTGACTTCTGCTGTGCCAGGTGTTAACCCTTTTGCTGTTGGCCTATGAGGAGGGAGTAGGGGTCCCATGGGGATGGCAGCTATTAGCAGCTGGTGTGGAGGTATTCAGTATTATAATAGCCAGTGCATTCGTGTGTGTATCCTCAGCCTCTGGCACAAGGTCTGCTACAGGGTAGGTGCTCAGCAAAGATTGCTGACTTCCCCTCTCTGAGGTACCTTCAGGTGAATGATGTGCCCTTTGGAGATAATGCCCATGTCTTTCAAGTCTTCTTCCTCCAGAAGAAGCAGTCGCTTTCCTGTAATGTTGTTTTCCTTAAACAAGCTTGCATATACGCTCATCTCTGCTGAAGAGTCTCCTGAAGGAAGGGATTAGAAGGCAGAACATTAGAGGAAATCCTGTCCAGAGCAAAGTTAACTGCATGAATTAAGAAGGTTAAGTTATTCCACTTGCCTTTTCTGACGAGCTGCTGAACCCAAAAATACTGTGAAAGAGAGCACATATATGGTTTTGAAGATTCACACGTGGTCAGTAGCTGACTTCACAGTAAAACACACTTTTCAATAGATTAAAATATCTGTAATTTTGCACTGTAAATTTCCGACTCAACCACAAAGGTAAAATGAAAGACATTCTCTTTATTGGTTTTAAAACTTTAAGCTTTCAAGTAGGAGATATCCCTCCCTGTGGAAGTCTTGGGACACTTAAGGGAATGTTGGTTTTCCTCCTTATTTGGGAGATTTTTAAAAATCCTTCAGGAAGGTTCTTACTTATAATGATTTTTCTCTTTATGTGCTGGTGGTCCCTGGGGTTGCTGAGAGGTACTGGTTTACCCGGGAATTGTCTGAGGAACAGGGACCGCACAGTGCTGGATAGAGGAGTGGGCAGAGTATGCCTGTGTTCTAGGCCTGGTCAGGAAGCAGCTATGTGGCCCAAGGTTAAAGCTCAGAGCTTCCTGCATAGAATGAAGTTGGGCCCAGTGACCCTCGGTCTCTGAATCTCGCTTGGCACGTGTTTACTGGTAGCCTCTCACGTAGATGCAAGGGAGGCCAGACCCAGTCCCAACAATTCTCTGGGGAGCCCTTAACCCTGGGACTTTATTTACATGGCTTGAAAACCACTCGACCTCAGAGAAAAGACTGAAAATAACTGTTAGAGCTCAGTGCTTTTTAAAAAATTTCTTCTCAAATGAGACGGGCCAACTTTGCAGCTGGGGAGAAAGAGATTCTATCCAGGCCCATGAAAAAGGAGATCCTAAGTTCTTTTTCCTTGTTAAGCAGGGCTGCTGGGAACTTTACAATCAAGGAGGCCCAATGAATGGGAAGAAGTGGAGACAAGTGGTGCCAAGTTTTCTTACACCCTATACTATAAGCCAAAGAAGTTAGCTAATGCTGAAAATAGTCTTACTTCACCAGAATACAGTAGGCAGAGAGGAAAATGCCCCAGTCCAGAAACCAGGTTGAGTTAGGTAAACACGCCTTCCCAAGAGCTTCCGGTAGTGCGTTTGTACCCTGTGGCATCCGGTCTGTCCCCTGGGGTAGGGGCTCCCTGTGGCCTGGCATTGCAGCTATTTTTCATATAATGATACCTCGAGCATATAAAGTGGACCTGGACAGGCGTAAGCCCCTGAAGTCTCTGATCAAGAATTTTCTGGACCTTTCACTAAAGAAACAGATGCAACAGGCTAAGAAGGATTACCCCTTAGGGTTTCTACCCCAGTGTAAGGTATAGAACTTCCTTTGGACTTAAATAATCCGTCCTCACCCTCTGGCCCCAGCTGCAGAGAATGTTTGGGAGCTGGCGGCCATTCCTCCTTGGGAAGGCCATAGTAAAGATGAACCTGTCACTTCCAAACGGGCCTGAGGTAGGAAGGAAACCCCGGTCCGCGGAATCCCAGGTAGCACACTGCCTTTACCAGATCTTTCTCCACTGTGGTTCAAGTCCATCCCTGGTATTATAGGAAAATTTAAGATCAGACTTTTTTTTTCAGAAGTGTTCATTTGGTATCCTGGATCACTCCTTTAACACTGTCATTGGTATTCATGATAGTATTCTGGAATACCTTTCAGAGCAAATAGGGAGGTGGAATCCTCTTGTAAGATTTGAAGAGATACTGGCTTTGCTCTTGAGGCCTTATTTTAAATCATTACTGCATTAAAAATAGAAAAACAAGGAATTTGTCAACTTCTCCTACTTAGACTTTGCTAAGGCCCAGACCCCTCCAGCTGCATTTGTAACTTGTGGACAAACGTCTGAACCACCTGCCCGGGCCAAACGAGGCGTTAACAGAAGCGGGCTTACCACGTCGTCTTCAGTCCACGAGCCAATCTCAAAGGAGGGCAGCAGCTGCATGGGAAATACGAACGCAGTGAAAAACAAAAGCAATATCATCGTTGTCTTTTTGGTTTATCCCTTGTCTTCCCATTTCAGCTTTCGGCTGCTGCTCTGGCTTGGTTCCTCCTACAGATGAGGTCCCTGACCTTATGGGGAATTTCTCAGTGCTCCAATCATTGTGCCCACAGAAACCAACCACGGGAACCAGCTTCTCTGTAACAATTCCTTGCACTTGGTGAGCTGTGGCAGCAGGACTGTAGATCTTGATACTGTCCTCTCTTGGTACTTGGCACACGCACCTCCCTCAATGGGGCTTGGCAGTCAAGGAGTTTCTGACGTTTGCCAGAAACCAGAGCCTCCCTTGGAATTCCCAGTCAACATGAAGATCACAGGATTATTAAAGAAAATTCCAAAGCAACCCTTTGGTAATCAGATGACTTACATGCTTCTTCTTACTGGAGAATTTCTAAGTGTTTAACCAAATGACTCATTTGCATTAACCAAGTATTAAGACCCATGGATGAAAGACAAGTTAGATGGGACTCTGTCCCAAGAAACAGGTTGCAGAGTCTGCTATAATGGAAACTCAACTAACCTATCAGGTGTAGACACGAAAGGTGCCTTTGCAAAAGAACGTTGGCCTGCATCATTTTCAAAGCCAGAGAGCTACTCGTTTCAGTATATGCCCATGGCCATAGACTAAATGAGACATGCCTACATAATCTGAAAAAAATTGGTGTGTCCTGTGTCTTGAATTAAAGTTTGCCATAGCCATTAGCTTTAACTAACTTATCTTGCCAGAATGGTTGGATTGCTCATAAGATAACATGGCAAAGTGTCTTTCAACCTTTGTTACAGAGATTTTTTCTGTGAATGAGTTGAAAAAAGTTGAATTTGGTTGCTTTTAATATTACTCTAAAAATCAGAGGGTAGGTGAGTTAATCCTTCTAATCTGCAAATATTTTGAGCTCACATGCTTAAATCCCTGCTAGGAAAAGTATGCCCCTCCCTTCAAGCAGCTTTTAATTTAATTGGGGGTGAAATAGATATGGATTACAGATGGAGGAGTTCAAGGCTACCTTCATGCTGGTTTACTCAGTGCCTGGCGAACAATTCTTGGTAAGTTTTTGTTGAACCATGTTGAATGAATACAACTGCAAGGTACATTTACTAAAATGCTCAGTTCCCTGGGTTTAGCACGGAAAAGCAAGGGTTTCATAGACTAAGATGGGGGAACAGAAGGCATGGTGGTTTGAGCTGGGTACTATAGGGCAAGGAATGGAGAAGTGATTCTGGGTGAGGAGAAGCAAGAAGGCCAAACACTGGCAGTGGGAGGAGGGAGAGGAGGGAAGGAGGGCATGTTTGCCTTACTGGAGCACTAGATGCAGCGTGCGCATGTTCGGAGGATAAAGGGGAAATGCTTAACAGCTTTGCTTAAAATGCTTAAATTCTCTCTGGCAACGGTTAAAATCTCTAGGGAGCCAAGCAGATTTAAAAACAAAAAACAAAAAACAAAAAAAAAAACCCCTGCAAGTTACACTATATTTGAATGTGTAGAGTTTTAATATTATGGCTAAGTTGCAAGGGTATAAATCACTGCTCTTCTGTATGTACCCATGTGCCCTAGTTCCCTCAGGATTGCCCCTCTCCTCCTCTGAAATACTTGACATGTGTCAGAATCGTCACATGCACTCACCTGCTTCAATGATGCAGAAAGGAAAATGACTTGAAGAAAATCTAAAACTGAATTTGATCACAGAAGGTACATGACAAGTCTTATGTCTTCACAGGGCAGCTGAAATCAGCTGCAGAAACGTGTCATTCCCTTTTCCCATCACAGAAACCAATGTGAAATAAGGAGCATTTTGAAAAGTTCAAGGAACAATAGACTGAGTTACAGAAGTATTTCCCTGCATTAAGGCTAGTCTCTATAGGGAGTGGGGGGATTGCAGTGTTTTGGTTTGTATATAATTCCCAAATGGTGTGCTAAACAAAATAGAGAAATAAGTATTTTTTGAATAAAAGTTGTAAACGTGACAACTAATCAAAACCAACATATTTGGTTTTAGGGTCCAAAGGAGAGGGGAAGAGTTCTCGAGCCTTCCGAGGGTGGCTCGGCAAGATTCTGATGCCGGGAGAAAGGCATAGATTCAGCTTGCTAATCCCTCGGCAGGATCCTTGCTCCAGGCTTGCAGAGATCAGTGAGAGGGAGGCTGGAGCCAGGCACTGCTTCAAGACGGTTTGAATTTGGCAAGACGGAGGTAAGAGTTAATGATCTCCAGCCACATCGTGGTTTACCATTTCCTTTATGCTTTCTGTACCTTCTTAGCATGTCAGTGTATCTGCTGTAGGGTGAGAGCTCTAAGCCTTTCGTTCTTTGGGGATTAAAAACAAAATCCAACTTGTGACTGTCCCATCACTTTGCAAATTCGTTATTTATACCCAACTGATGTTGGGAGAGAAAAACTCACATTCGTGTGCATGCGTGTGACAGTGATTCCTTCCAAGGATGTTGAGAATCCAATCTAACAAAGATCTAATATACACAGCAACACATTACAAAGGGATTTACTGTCAAAACGTTTATTGCAAAATGGAGTCTTAAAACAAAGAAAAGCAAAGAAAAGTTCACATCAAAATGAAATGTATGACACCAACTTGGATTTCTGAATACATTGTGGACTCTGTGCTGGAATATCAAATTCCAACTACGAAATCGATAATGAGTAGTCTTACCACACACGAGTGAAATGTAATCTTCCATAAAACATTATACAAGATATATGGCATAGGATTTGCTCAGAATAACACTGTAATAGAATAGTTGAGGAAAAGGTTTTGTTAAAAAAATAAAGTGATAATGCCATCCTCTATTCAAAGCGCACACTCAAAGAATATAAATATTTCCTATTATTTAGTACAGAATTCTTTAAAACAGTGCAAAAGCAGTATGTGCAGTGTATCGTATCTCACGTTGAAAGATAAGCTATTCTGCACATTATTTAAAATAATTAATGTAGGTGCTGAAAATGCTAGTTGTAAAGTCAGTAATCACATGCCCGAAAGCTCCTCACAGGCCACAGAATGCAACTCAGTTGCAGCCCGAGGCAACGACGCTAGCCCTTCAGGTTCCCTGGTACACACTCCTTTTCCATCACGGAAATGCTACCGCTTGCAGGCTATGCCACAACCCAAAGAACAGAACAGATTCTTCTCTCTGGCAATGCTTAAAGTCAGAACAGGAAAGCAGTCTGACTCCAAAGCAGCAAAAGGTGCCTGATTATAGAAAAATGATGCTCTATCATAAACGTGGTGTGGTGAGACACTGCCTGTTGTAACAGGCCCACAGCGAGTCTAGTGTTACCAAAAACCAAAAAGGGTATCAATATTTAACTCAGAGTAGCTTTTAAAATGATCTTTTATGAAATGCTCAGCACGCTGAAAAATAAAGTTATGTACACATCACAGTGCTATGAGAAGTCCTTCTGGCTCTCTCCCACATCTTACCTCTGATTCCTTGATTTTAATGGGGATCCATTCTGAATACCTCAGCTGTTGCTTAAGTCTAACAAATGTGCTGCATGTTAAAAATCACTGGCTGCACGCCGGCCCTCAACATTTCCAGACCATCCAAAACAAGTGTGCTCTGTGCCTTCAACCACTTCCCCTTGGTTATGAAATGTAGAATAGTAAAATATGATTTTACTTCAACAGAAAGTTCTTTTAAATTAACCTTCCTCAGTGATGGGTTCCTTTTTTATTTTGGAATTAGTGTCATAGGAGAGTGACCCCCTCCCCCAAATCCATTTTGCTATTTTATAAAGTTTCCACCAGAATTTTTCAGGGGAAAGAACCCATTTTTCCACAAGTGGGGATTTAAGATAAATGTCACCAACCTATAAAATTCATATTGTATAGTAGTCATTTTGAAACTGCATCTTTTGACTTGAGCAAGTTTGTTAGGTGGGAAATGAGATGTAGAACTCAAACTGCCAGGTTTTGCAAGTTTCTCAGTGGGGGGAGGGACAATGCTGTTGGTATTGTGGATGGAGTTCTTTACTGGGTGGGGCTGCCCCTAGCGCTGGGCACTCCACACCACCCCCAGTCCCTGTGACAACCCAAACTCTGCCCCAGCACTCGCGAACACCATTAGGGGCCCCAGATGAAAGTGTAAGATCTGTATGATCGACTTTCTGAATACAGAAAAAAAAGATGAAAAAGAATAGTTACATTTTCAGTTGTATGGCTCTGACAATTATTACTACAGAGTTTATCATTTTGAATCTTTAAATTTCTTAGTGTTTAATTATTCTCTTTATAAATGTACATTCTTGTAAGTCAAGTAACTGGAAATACATCCAACATCAATAATTTGCCATTTCAGGGGTGCCTGGGTGGCTCAGATGGTTAAGCGTCTGCCTTCGGCTCAGGTCAGGATCCCAGGGTCCTGGGATCGAGCCCCACATCGGGCTCCCTGCTCAGCGGGGAGTCTGCTTCTCCCTCTCTCTCTCTGCTGCTCCCCTTGCTGTGCTCTCCCTCCGTCTTACAAATAAATAGATAAAATGTTTAAAAAATAATAATAATTTGCCATTTCAAAAACTGGTCTGAAAAGTGAATTAGAAGCTGCACAATTAACATCATCTTCAGAAATTCTATGTAATAAACAGTTCTTTTAAAAAGTAATAAAACTAGGGCGCCTGGGTGGCTCAGTTGGTTGAGCGACTGCCTTCGGCTCAGGTCATGATCCTGGAGTCCCAGGATCGAGTCCCACATCGGGCTCCCTGCTCAGCTTCTCCCTCTGACCCTCTTCCCTCTCGTGCTCGCTCTCATTCTCTCTCTCTCTCAAATAAATAAATAAAATCTTTTTTAAAAAAGGTAATAAAACTAATAGAGTCTAAAAGTCTTCTACATAATCTTCACAGAGTGAGACCCCTTTAAAATTCTGTTTATATGATTCAGATTTTTAGGGATGTTCAAAACCGTAGAAAGACACTGATTTGGAACAGAGTAAA